AGCGGCCGGCATGAAGAAGCTGAGCGAGGTGTCCACGATCCGGTGTTTCGTGTTCGTGTCCAGCAGACCCGGACTCAAGCTGTCGGTAATCCCGAAACATATCGACATCGAGATTTTCAGGAAGGCGAAAAACACGATGGCGGCAAAGACAGGAACCGGTACTGTCATCGACAACATGACGTGGAGGCGTGTGCAGAAAAGATGGTGTTGGGAAAGTAACGGTACGGTTCTTGACGAGTAAATGATGACGGTGGCGTCACCTTCGTTCTATTTATCGGCGTTCGCGAAGTGCCCATGACGTGGCATTTTTGTGTACGACGAAACTTCCCGCTTCGTAGTCGATAATGTGGCAGGAGAACGAACGCGGAACAATGGTGACGATGAGGTCGGCCGTGACCGATTCGAGCGAGAGGCTTCATCGACTGACGATACACCGTTCGCGCGGCGACGTTCGCAAAGCTGGTCTGGTCAGCGAACGTCGACGCTGGTGGGTGGAAATGCGATCTGACGGACTCACGATCCAATACGATAAAGCGACCAGGTCGTTGTCGAAGGTCTCTCCGTCGGGTAAGACCTTGCTGTGGTATCTTTCCGACGAAATTCTCCGATTCGCCGTTCGATGCCGAAGTGGGATCGCCAGCTTTCGATTCACTATCGATTCGAGCGGTTCGACGGTGCATTCTTTAAAGGCTCTCTGCAGATGGACCATAATCTCGTTCAATCTGGACGTGACCCTTTTACCCAACGCTCTGAAAACGTACGTTCTGAACAGTAACGATGACGTAGCATTTCAGTACTCCATGGCGTAGGTGCCATTACAGAAGACAAAACCTTTAAGGGTACATGTCATATTCAGCGAGTCATACATTATTTGTTTAATAAAATATTGGTAAACGAACATACGGTTTCCATTATATTTTTTTAAAATTATGTGTGTGTATTTTAACAAAAATGAATCAGTGCGAGAGATAAATCAAGAGATGTAAAACCAATTTTTGTTTGTTCTCTTTGGTTCACTTTATTTTACATCGCAAACGCACAATATTCTGCCAGTGTCCGGTTCGAACACGGCACCGTCTAAGCCGCAGCGTAACCAGCATTCGTCCGTCAAGGGAACCGCCTCGGATACCCTTTGAGAGCGAGAACGCAAGATCCTTCGTCGCTGCCGACGGGAAAGTAGCAGTGCGATCCGAAGAGTCCGCACCCCTCGAAGAGTCGGGAGCGAAATACCAGCGGTCGTTGTTGCCTTTGAAATTTTTTTTCGGCTGGCGGACGCTGCACAGGTTCAGCGAGATGCTTTTCTCGCAGCTGTTGCAACATCTCACGTATCGGGTCCCGTCCTCCGCGATTTCCAAGCACGCCCGATTCCAGTTGGGGAGAATGCACGCTTCCTGGTAGAGAAACGGAGTGGCACCTTGGACGTAAACCGAACCAATCACCAGGTCGGAAGCCACCTTCGAATACGCGACCGCAAAGGAGTAGAAAGACGAAGAGAACAACAGCAATAACAGAAGCCGAAACGGCAAAACGCCTACCGTCCGCTCGATCGGGCTTTGCATCGATGCTACGTTCCGTGGTCGGCGTGGATGCGTCGCCAATACGTCTGTATCTGGCGTAATCGACGTGGCCCACCGGCCGAACCGTTGCCGTTGGTTTCGGTTTCTTGCTGGCGTCGCCGGTTTTCCTCGACGAGAACGACTTGCGTGGGACACCGTTTCTCGAAGATTTGACGGCAAAGTTTCTCGAATCGGAAGACTTACCGCCGTCGCTGGATGCGCCAACGGCCATTCTCGACGAAGAGGCTCCGGTGCCGTCTCTTGCCAAGGAGGAGCCTCCCGACCTCGAAGTTCCCGGATTGCTCTCCAATTCTTCTTCTTCGGAACTTATCCATACGATATTCGACTTCTTCTTCACCTTTACTGGCACGGGCGAGAGACGACGATTTCTTCCTGTTCGTCTTCCGACGATTGTCGGCGACGTCGAAACGACATTTCGAAATGGATCGACGTCTTTTTTCCGAGCGCACTTTCACTACCAAATCGCTAATACCCTTCTGTCGACGCGAAAGTGCAGCATGCGTTTCCAGCCACCTTCCTGTCTGACCCAATCTCCACATCTGTCGTCGAGAAGGACTCCGACTGCGCGCGCAACTGCCGTCTTCTCGAACGTGTTCGAACGCGAAAGCTCGCGAGCGATCACTAAGGAGACGACGATGCGTCCCAAGTTCACGGTACCCTCTTCGAACACCGAGGATATCGCCTCTCGAGGATCGCACGCGTTTCGAGGGACGATGTCCTTCGCCCTCACTCCTAACGGAATGCTCTCCACCAACCGATCGAGAGCGACGCAGTACGGATTTCGTTTGGATTCTTCGATTATGTACGCCCTCGCTATGCTTCCGGCGTCGACTTTGCCTTGATTGCCCCGTTTCTTTCGGGTGACGCACGTTCCAATCTCTTTATCGAATGTAGAAGATTAAGATTTAAAAAAAAATGATACAAAAATAAATCACACAAGAATAACGAGTTAACGTAAATGATTTCATGTTTTATTTTGTTTATTCTTTCGACAAATTCAAAATCCGAGATTGCATTCGCACTGGGAGAATCCGTCCCATTCGGCGGTGCAGAATTCGCAGACGACCATCGACCTTTCCTCTTCTTCCTCGTTACCTAAATCGAGCCATTCATCTACGTCCAGTTTTCTGGTTTCCAAGGCCAACGAGCGGCATTCGGGCGTCCACTCAGATTCTTCTGGGTCTTCTTTGATTTGTTCGGCGTAATCGCCGATCGTTTCGATCAAGTCGTCGACCCGACGTAGCATTTCCGAATGCGAAGTGGCGTCGACGCTACCGTACGACGATTCAAGGAAAGACGTTTGAGAAAGAGCGTCGTCGATACGATGCAGCATTTCCGAATGAGGTGTGCCGTCGAGACTCTCGTACGAAGATTCAGATAAGGACAGTTCTTCCTCTTCCTCCTCCTCCTCACGGTTCCAATTTCTCTCTTCGATCGGCGACCGTCCGTCGGCTGCTACCAAGAAAGACGTTGCAGATTCGACGGACGACGCGGTACTGGGCGGTGTTTTAAAGCAATCGCAGGCGTTCAAAGGCCGGAGGCATTCCGGACAGAATTGAGAAGGGCTGGCGCACATGGTGCATAGTTTCCCGTTCGGCATGGGCGGGTTCCACTGACACCTGTTGCAGGGAGCGTACGATGGTTCGGCCATGTCGGACATCGGTCTGATGCTCTACGTCGCGTCCCTCGTACACATATATACATGTGTTGGGTGTTGCGAAGAGAACCGACCGAAAACATGGAAGGTTGCCGACTGTGCGCGTTCGACGTGGACAAGGAACAGAGACAGTACTGCAGCGATGACAAACGTTCGGACGGATACCATCCGATGCTGAAGGGCGAGCGTCTCTTCGAATCCTACGGCGTCCGGGAGCGGCCACGGGTCGTCGAGAACATCCGCGAAGCGCTGGCGTCTATGGAACCGACGATGGAGGACGTCACCTCAGAAGAAGTGGAGAATCACTTC